AACAGCAATGGCCTCTAGGAGCTCGGTTTTTAACGAGAACGTCTGTCATTCAAGCACAGCATTACATAATTATCACGTGACAGTTGGCTAGCCTCGTATTGAGCTAGCATCGTGCTGCGATTATATCACAATAGAAATCCATTGAACTTTCTGAACGCCCTCCCTTCTATACGAGGTATTCAGTCCTGGCTTTCAACACGATTGCCTTGTAATAGTAGTAGTCTCTGAGCTATGAACAAGATATATTTTTGGAATAAACTTGTATCTAACGGTCATTTCTACCTAGTATCTCAAATGTCATGACATCAGTTTAGATAAGTAAGTATCAGTCAAAATTCATACTGTAACAAAAGCCTGGTGCCATTGCAAAAAAGCGATCGTCACCCTCAAATTGCGTCTTCTGTATACTGAAGGATTTGCATGATCAACTTGATGAGCTTTCGCGTGCGACCTCGACCTCGAAACAGAACAAAGGCAATTCACTAGAAGCATAAGCTTAGAAAACACGTTGTCGGTCCCTTCGTGAAGTGCCATAAAGGCGCCAGCGCAGTTCAGCAAAAATGGGCCAATGCCTTTTGCTATGGTCGTTAGATAGCAACGGGTGCGGTGAAAACGAGGTTCGAAAACTGATCTCTGTTGGACGTGATTCTTCGTTATCACGGCGATTTGTTATGAGGACACCTAAACACCTCAATAGGTCTATCCAAAAGTGGACAAAATCACAAATAAGAAACAAAGTAAAAAATCGTTTGCAAATGGCCTTTACACCGTTACCTTAATTTAATCTATTTACCCTTAACTATGCCAGCGAAAGAAGTAAAACGGTCTAAGGTGCGCAAACCAACTAAAGACGAAAGAACATCTATAGCTCGGGCGGACACTAAATATTGCCTAGTATACGCCGCAGTATTCCGCGGCCATTATAAGTATCTGTATAAATTATACGTTGAAGGAAAATAACTTTAGGAAACCTCATTCTTACAAAGGCTCTCGTCATCGAAGGAAGAACCATGGTAAATGATAAGCCTGCCAATCCGTGGTGGGCGCAAAAAAGTCAGTGGATCATACATAACATAAGATGCTGTCAAAAACAGAATCAATGACGGGATTTTGCTATTTACTTGAATGCATGTATTATGTTTAGTTGCTCTTTTTCATTTTTCATCATTTAATTTTTCCACAAAGATTTTTCATTACTCTAATCGTGATTTACTTCCATCGACGAGTGATCGATCGAGTAGATGCTTAGCCTATTATAAGGAACTGCCAGCGTGGAGTGCCACTGTGAGCCTTCAATTTAGATATCCTTTTAGAGAGACCAAAGAACAAAACAGAGATATGTCCTGGCGGAACTGAGGAAGATGAACTTTAGACTTCGACACTGTTTACACAGATTTACGATAGGGCAATTTGGTAAATTAACTAAGTGATAAATTGAAGACGATATTTTCGGAATGCTCTGAAGCCGGCTCTCCATTCACTCGTCGGATTGCATACAAGCGCCTGTCCTATATTTATTATTTCTCAGTAAGTTAAGTTTAATCTCCCACACAAACGTATATAGATTAGGACGACACCCTGCTATCGCCATCTAACCAACATACATTCTTCAATCCCTGTTACAGGCATAACGTATATGTTGTGGAAGATTTTGTCCACGCTTACAGCATGCGGCCTTCGTCCTACAACAGTGATAAATCAGAGGATGATCGGGTAACCTAACACGTTCTTAAATTGATTCAGAGGTCGACGGACACAGAGCGAAGAATATGTATGACAGCATTTTGGATGTGTCAAAATTATCTGCACACGATTTATATTGTCGTAGCACAGTGTATTTGAATAGGTAACCAAACGCTAGACCTAATAAGAAGGTATAGTAAAGGTTTATAAAGGATTAGCTTTCGCTCTGCCCCGGAAGCGTGATTTGACGAGTTCTTCAGTCCTGTTATGTCGTCAAACGACAAAAAAGCTTTTTTAACGTTTCCGTTTTACGTTCACCCTAGAATAGAAATAGCGAGTCCTTGGTTGGTAGGTTTATTTCGCATTTGTTAATGACTGCATGTGATAGCGTTTAGATGAGAAGGCCATATTGAAGCTCGTTACTATATTTTTTGGATTGGGTTAACTGGATAAGGGTTTTTATCACTGTCTTTTTTTTTTGAAAAAAGAAGGCTGAATGTTTCTGTATTGACCTAGCTTCTAGCTTCGGTAAATTTCATCTCTAGGTTAAGGACACCTCGGAAAGACTATTCAATTGACGAGGCTATAGGATAGTGATGATGTCTTTAGTTCAAATACAATCAACTGTCTATGTTTACATTACCTTAGAATTATTATGCTAGCGCAGAATAATACTCTAATTGTCTAGTTATTCTTTTGAAAGAGTGCCGAAAGGATATGCAGCGTCACGGCTTCTGTACGGTAATTTGTGGTTTGTTGCTAATCGCGACTATTGCCTATATCAGCCACGGTTCATTACTAAGAATACTTAGCGAGCCTTCATTGACAGCGGGCGGTTTGGTTCGCTATCCTGAAGGCAAACTACATCTCAATCCCTCATCAAGCCATCAACAATGAGCCATAAATAATCGTTGATATGTGAACAGATAAAGATAGCCTTCAGTAATAACCAAATACACTAGGAGGGCTGTTAACAGTTAAATGAACTGCTTTGTTCTTATAAATTATTATAATGTTCAATGAGAATTACTAAGATAACTTGAAGCGGAAAACCCAGTTCGTAACGGTGGCTTCATGACAAGTAGTACAAAAAAGTTGCTGCAGCTGATCCGAAATTAAGAAAACGAATAATTTTACACGAACTGCCCGTTCCCATCCAAAGTTGTTGTGTTTACAGATTGCTTTCCGATTTCTCGACGCGGAACAAACGTTACGCTTACCTAAACCGATGTTATATGGCGTCGCCATTAAGCACGAGGCTGTAAAAGGATTAGAAACTCAAGTTTTCCGTGCAGCACAGATAAAAAGCAGACAGTATGAACTCCTGATTTTTATGTGAACCCCTTTAACACATGTGCATACCTCATAATTCATACGTCTCGATTAGGTCATTAAGGTAGATCCTTCATGTGAGCACACGTAGCAAACGTGCATCATATATCCTAAAAGTCAGACAGATACTCGCTGGTTACAATGAAGCCAAGATATTTGATCGCCGTCGTTTGTCCTTTAATCCTCTTAAGGAAAAAAAAAGAAGTGAGCCATTTGCGATTCTTCTCGAACAAGAAACTATCTATTACTGATATCTAAATGAAACGCAAATTATACCGAGTATACGAAGGTTCATGTTCTGCGTTTGATGTCCAGTAAATGACACGTCACGCTGTCGTCTTCCTGTTATTGAAACGGCTAATACATCACGGAAGGGATTCATCTGCGTCTTTTACGAGCTGCTACTGTGAATAGATAAAGGCGAGTTGTATGGTGCACCGGTTCGGCTAAGCAGGTTTGTATAGGATAGCCTATTCGATATTATGATCATTGTCTGTATAGTCCAAGTTTAATGAACGGGGCTTGATTGACCAAGGGTCCATCGCAACGTCTACTAGCTCACTTACGCCCCTTAGAAACGTCTCAAATGGGTCTGTAAGCGATTCAGGCCCTAAATTGAACGAAAGTGACGTAATGATTAAACATGAGCTTCAGAAACTAGTTAGAGATATTCTTTAGATAAGAAAACGTCCCCATTTTAACTGATTGTTTCAAAAACCACTTTATGTCTATTATAATTCGGCCTCTCCGCTACCGGTAGCGACTAACCATGGTAACCTACGCGTATGAAAATAAATACGCGATGTTCTCGCTGAGGACAATACTGAGACGTTTAGTTCACGTTCGCATCGCGTTCCCATAAATAAAGAAAAATCGGCCCGTCGAACGTCACTTGAACGACCGGAATTCTCTCTCGATCGACAGATAAACAGTTTAATCGCGCTCAGAGCTCACTTGACCATTGACACCTTCTGCTCCTCGGGTTAAACCCAATTTTCCAAAATAAAACAATATAACAAACACATGGCTTTCTTCAAGCGCCTTATGTTCACGCAGTACGATGCGGTGGAACAGATGTGCCATCTTATTTTCGCCGATTTAATGTATCCCTGTTTTTTTTTCCGTGTACGGCCTCGCAATGGACGGCGCGAACGATTATCGCACACCTACTGACCGTAAATGATTCAGGCCACTGCGGCACAGCCTCTTGCTGCGGGCGTGCTTTGGCACTAAAATATAGAAAGGTTCAATGCTAAGTTAAATCTGCCATTGTGGAAACTTTATCAACACCCAACGTTTACTCAGTCTCTGTCTCCAGACGGCAATTAATTTGCCAGAACAGTATTAGCAATATTTATTTAATTATTCACAGATTTAATTCGCCATGGCGACGGTAATCTTGGCTGTTTCGGAATCGCGAAATAGTCACATCTGCCCTGCACCTTTAAAATGAGAGCGCAACGCACCCCTTTTTTACATTAAAATCCAAAAACGTCCTTGCGAAATTTCTGTTATTATAATTAAGTAGAAACCAGTAGATAGCACAACTTTCTTGTGACTAATTACTCGTATGCGTATGCCTACCACAATGACTCTAATGTGGTAATTCTAGATAGAATCAGACTACGTTTACGTGCCTATACTATTTTCTTTCATTTATACGATATTATATATATGTTAGTGCGGCAGTCACAGCCCGCCTGGAGATTTCTGTTGTCGTCGGCGTCGGTTTGGATTGCAATACCTGCACCCGGATCGTCCACAGCGGATACCTTCCCCGATCCGTCTCCAGATGTCCTTCGCGAGCTGCTGGGGTGGCAATTCTTCCTCCCAGCTAAACAAATATCTCACCCCGTCGATTCTTATCCGCGCTAGGAGCACCAACGTCTGCACTCGCCCAGCAAGATCTCGCTCGCAAGGATGCTCACTCACTCGCCGTTACCACTGCCACGCGTCTTCCACCTTTCTACGTTGATGAGCCGCAACAAATCATTCAGACGACCAGGCCGCGCGGAATTCCTCTTTTAAATCAACAGTGTTTTATTTGGTCAACCGGCGTGTGTTTGTTCGCCCAGCTGCGCACTGCAGTAACGTTCGTTCATCGGCATCGCGGACAGAACACCCAGCGATATACGGCAGTCGAGACAGCGACAAGAGGTAAAATACGTTCGCTGAGGCAGAACTGTCGCTTCGCGAAGCGACCGTGGCAATCGAACACTGCGATTGATTGTGAGCTGGTGAATTAAGCCCCTGGAACGATCGACAGCGCGCTACGTCAGTATTAGTTGAACGTTTCCTGTATGTTGATACCGCTCAAACGACCACGGCACGGAATCAAAAGGGGGCAGTTGTACACCAGGGAATAACGCGGACCATCCACGTAAGTAGGAATGTCAATTTCCGGCGGAAGGCGTAGGCGGAAGGCGTATATGGTAAAGTAAGTTATTGTTGTTATTATTAAGGAGCTTGCAGCTGGTACTTTTCCATTATGACTAGATTGACAACATTAAATCAGCTGTACCAATTTCCGCGAACAGCAGTAATCTGGCCGAAAAAGGACCTGTAATAGTTGGCCTAGATCGGATAGGAATACGACCAAATTAATAGAACAAACAAAAAAATCTTGATAGTCAGCCACCGATTACGTAGATCGATCGAAGTAAGATTTCACATAGGAAAAAGTCACGAGCCAGTTAGAACGTGGCTTGTCTGACAAACTGATTATATACATTTACCTGATCTTCAAATAGGCTATAGCCTGTAGTACAATTTCAACATGTGTCAAAAAAAAAATAGGATCGTTGCCGCAATGTCGCGCGTTAGGCCATTGACACGAACGACACATGTGGCACGTCAAATCAGCGGTCAACCAAAAGCATTTACGATTCACGTGATACCCCTATTCAAATAAGTTAATGTGTTCCAAGTTGTATCTCTAGTATATACTGCATATATTTCAGACGAACTTTAGTGAGAATTTTCTACGATTATGTTATTGAAGAAGTTTACATACTATGCATTGGGATTCACTTAAACGGCTGCATTGATAAACGTTGCTCGCCGGTCGCGCGAAGCCCATATCCAGCTCGTAGTCATTTCTTCTAAATGAAATGTACGCTGTCTGTTAGAGAAGATAGCAGATACAACGGCTTACTTTTTGCAAAATAGATATCACGAGATAATACGAGAGGTGCCGGGTCGGAATCATAGTCCAGCGCTTTCTGAAGTTTCGATGAACTTTAGGCGCTTAGGCCACGAATCAAGCTTGGCTACCTACCTATCGACGCGATAGCTGTCGCAAGCAAACGTATTACGGTCACATTTAGCCTTTTCATTAACAACATTTACAACGTATCGAGGATAGATTTTGAAGCCAAAAGAGAGAAAAAACTGCACAGAACAGCAATTTTTCATTTTATTTTTTTACATATATATTAAAATTATACATATAATTAGTTATGTATATAAACATCTTTTATAATAATCCAATAGCCTTGGATGTGGGGTTTCATAGAGCTCCCGGAAACGGCCAACCCTGACATTGTTTGTTGCGCCTTTAGCTAGCTTAGGGTCTGAGGGTCTCGCGAGTATGACGATTATATTCCGCTGTTAAGCTCCCCTTCTAATAAAAACGATTTATACCGTATTATATCTGGTTCTATTAAACCAACCAGAAGCAGCATTCTTCGCCCAGATTTTGCCTTGGCATTAGGTCGCCTATATATATATATATACGCTATTTTGGAAAGCCATGGCTATTTTATATGCGTGCAATTTAATTCGAAAGTACCTTTGGGATATTAAAAAAAATAGATAACGTAACTGAGCCTAACAAGATCTAACGTTTTTAAAGGTCTTTGCGTGAGTTTACAGTTTTCATTATTCGTATATGGTAACGTAAGTTGTGACATGTTCTATTATGAAAGGGTTCTATGAGATTTTCTGATTTGCGAAAGTCTGCGTCGGTCAGTCCCTCTTAATTAGACATTTGAATCTACGTGCGTTGATCAGGAACAACATAGAACAAATCGATTTGACGGCTAAATTTCTAGACGTTACAAGCAGCAGCAGCAGTGGCAAACGGTTCTGGCCTGCTTTAATTCCAGGACACATTGTCCTCTTAGCATTATTCAATAATAGGCGCTGTGCCTAAACAGATCACTGAGCTTGCGCCAACCTGTTCGGTTTAGAGTAAGCTAGATATATTTAACATTCTAGAACTGCCTATATATAGCAATGCAGATATTGGTACGGACCTAGCGGTTGCGTATGGTGGTTTCAGTACACGAAAATGAACTGGGATGGTCCGTATTATATCATTTCTGCCCAAAAATCCTGCCAAGCTCTAACGCTTGTCAAGCAGTAGAAACAAGCTGGAATAAATATTAGTGAACAAATACGTTTGTAGGGAGCACCTGTCCCGTGTTCCCTCTCTGCCGCCCGAAAAACAAAGGCCAAATAATAATAAGAACGCAGGTGCAAATCTACGTTATTCTCCTCTTCCACAATTTTCAGTCTGAAGAGAACTTAATTAATATTTTTCCTCGACTCGAATACAGATCACTTTCCTGGTCGAGACAAATGGCGTTTTACATTAGCATTACAGGTGCTATAGGGAAAATGAAGCCGAATTATGATTAGTCCTTATGTAAACGCTTCTGTTATTATATACCTTGTTCAGAGTCGCTTCTATAATCGTCTTAGACTGTGTCTAATAAACCCTGCGCCCGCTATTTTTACTTACTTTCATCGGTTTCGATCTATATCTATTGGTCGTACTATTTTAAATCATCGGTTTCTCATAGGAACGCAATTATATTTGTTTCATGCCAATTGTAGGAAATGAGCGACTCCCATGGCAGTTACCTTGGGCCATGACAAATCCTGGAAGCTTCATATTATGAATGAGAGAACTTTAGGATATTTTCTGTGGATATTCATAGATACAAAAGTTCTCCTAGAGTCAGCTGAAACGTTTGCAGATAACGTGCAGCAGGAGCTTTATTCAAGCGACACTAATTACGGGCTCGCCGTAACCATTGTTCATTGTTGCTGGCACCAACATTTCTCAAACAGCCTCCCTTTTAGAGGGGGTCACGTCTGAAAACATCTTTTTGCTTAGGTCATCATGTTATAGTGTCTAACGTCTCACGTAAAACAATGCATTTACTGCAATTTTAGAGTGAACTCCCAGAAACAGCGGCTAGATATTACGTTAATTTGAAACTTTTCCTTATTTCGGCGGCAAATTGTTCAGTCAACTACCTACTCATGAGTGGCGCGCTTTTACTTGTTGATTCCAGGTGGCCTTGCCTACACTCGAGAGATAGTCCTTATCTCTAGACTGCTCCTGTCACTTTTGTTCGGAAGGTGTTTCAACGCGTTTAAACAGATTTTCATTGTTTGAGGGAGAAAAATTGCGCTTCACAATGTCAGGGATCGCATCCCCTGATGCATTTAATTCCCCAATCCTACCGACTCCAAAAGCAATATCCGCGACACAAGATCACTCCGCTGTTGATGCTGTTTCAACGTTTGTAGGCTTTAGCGGCGGATTCATTGTCGTTGTATTCGTGGTAGCTGTTCTGTGCAAGATCTATGCCAATGTCACCGAAGGACGATACGTTTGTCAAAAAGATCTCACGGGCACGGTTGCCATAGTAACCGGCTCGAACACAGGTTAGTAGGCTAAAAGGCCAAACTATTCTAGTTCGACGTCACTGTACCGTTGCCGCACAGATAAAAAAATGCTACTGGATTTCATAAAGACCCTTCTGTTTTGGAGTCTATGAGGCAAGTCGACTTCATTAGAAATTTCAACCTCATTAGAAAATTCATATTACTTTCGCGGTGTGGTACAATGGCGAGGTGCGATGCATTGTTTCTTACCGTGACAGGTCCAGTGAGATAGTTCGAGTGATAGAGGACGTAGTCACAAGCCCTAAGGATATGATTCTACTATTTAGCGAATTATTTTAGGGTAAGTCAGTAATCCTTCGAGATAAAAAATTGTTTGGTAGGGGTTCAGACACCACACATTAT